AACGAATGCCTTCTTGAAGTCTGCTGGTCCTACAAGAAAAAGTGGTGGACAGGTACAAGGTCTCTGCTAGAGGCTATACCTACTGTACATGGCTTTTTCTGGAAATCATGAGCAGCAACTATAGTGGGAGCTACAAGTCAACCATCAGCAGATGGGGACTAATGTTGCTGCACAATGCTCCCTTTGGAAGTCGTGTTGTATTTTTTAATGTACTGAATGTGGCTGTATTGAAGAAGCATGTACAGTAATTCAGGTACACATTGTTCATTTGTGGAAATTATATATATATATATATATATATATATATATATATTATATATATATAATATATATATATATATATATATATATATATATATATATTGTGGAGTTAAATCTCTAGCAAATCAAGCCAAGGAGAGGAAACAATAAATGTCCAGTCTTATTAAAACAATTTTGCATGATTAGTTGCAGCTATTAGTTGCATCACTCCTAGAAATATTTTTTTTTTTTCAAATTTAATTGCAAATTTAATGCAGTGAATGTACTTCTGTTCATCAAAACTTTCATTGGATGCATCATGTATGTTCTTAACTTTGCATAGCTTGTTGTTGCACCAATGGCAGTTGTATACACTTTGAAAAATGTTTGGAACATTGGGTGTCACTAGAGCTAACATTTCGACAAACGGACTTTTCTTCAAGTTGCAGCATTTAAAAAGACATGTCCGCTTGTCGAAACATTGGCTCCAGTGACACTGCCTGGTGCCGAGGATTTTTACATGTCTTGAAGATTACATCTTCCCTTGACTTCTACTTAGTTGGGAAGTTATGTACACACATGAAACTCAAAAAATAATGGACGGCCAGAGTGTGCCAAATTCCTTTTTACACTTGTCTTATCTTTGCGAACAGACTCAGAGGGGCCAGGTGGCATGGCTGAAGTGAAGCTGTTCGAGGCGAAGGAATTCACGGGCCTGACGGTTGCCAAGGGGAGCATTGGCATACTTCACCAGAAGATCATCACGGAAGTCACCACAGAGGCTGTGCGCAGCTGCATCGCTGAAGCTATGACTTCTCGTGTGGCACCCCTTCTGACCACTGTGCTCAAGGGTATCACTTACCCAGAATTCACTGGCATGCAGCCATAAAATAATTTGTGCTCTGGAAAAGTACCCAAGTGTGCAGTCTAAGCAGCCTAAGGTCACGAGTTGTCATCACACTAATGAGAAAATCGCACTGTAAAGTTAACACCAAAGTGTGAAATCTTCTGGTTGTAAAATTGCTTTCACACAAACACTGTATTCTAGTTCTGAAGAAAAACAATTTTATGAGTGTGCCCCCAATAAAACTAAAGCATACTTTGACTCTGCCTCTGTACGATGGAATTCTGTTGATATATTGATTGATATGTGGGGGTTTAACGTCCCAAAAACTACCATGTATATGAGAGATGCCGTAGTAGAGGGCTTCGAAAATTTCGACCACCTGGGGTTCTTGAATGTGCACCCAAATCTGAGCACACGGGCCTACAGAATTTCCGCCTCCATTGAAAAATGCAGCCGCCGCAGCCAGGATCTAACCCGCGACCTGCGGAACAGCAGCCGAGTACCTTAGCCACTAGACAACCGCGGCGGGGCGGAATTCTGTTGCCGATTGTCAATGTGCAGTTGAGAAGGATATGCGAATATTTAAATTTTTTTTTCAAATATTGTTATCTATTTGATTCAGTTAGCACTAGAATTTTACTATTCGAACTATCTGAACGTCTTGAAGACAAATATATTCAACGACAAATTGGCAGTGGCCGCTTCAGATATTTATATGTTTTAACTCCATCACAACCTGGTATTGAGGCAAAGCTGTCTTTCAAGCTCTGCTAAGGCTTTAAATGTATTTACTGAAGACTACCTCGGTTCTAACATGCAGATGATGGATGTGGCAGAGATGGGGGTTTATAAAATGCTGTTTTGGACCTTAATTTGGGCAGAAAATTTGAAAAAATCGGATGCCAAACATTTCCAGCATCCAACATTTCAGATGTTTTTGTATATTGATGTATATGAGCAAATGTGGAACGCCAGACCCGAAGGTGCACAGCCTGTTCGCCACATCATTTTGGCTTTCAGAGAAGTTGATATGAGGCGAGGCTCTGGAAATAGCATCTAAGAAAGTTGCGTTTCATGTGTGAAGTGTTGTTAACATCCTCTGGTTGCAATCAATCATGTAAACAAATACAATTCAGCCTCTGCATTGCCTCATTCTTGATAATACAACTATAAAACACCAACCTGTCAGTGATTCATCAACCTAGCCAAGAGAAACACTTCATGTTGCTATCTCTTAAAATATGTTTAAGAATCCTCTCCAACTTTTTTCTACAATTTCGCTTCAAGGTGTCTGAAAAATATTCTGGAAATATTAGAAAAATTCTAATGATTAGCACTCTCACTCCCAACATTCAAATTCACTTTGCACCCAGAATTTACTATTGGCACAGTTCTAGTGCTTTCATGGCTCTGTACCGAAAAGCTGATGTTACGTACGAGACTTGTTTTACTAGCTGTAAAGCTGCTTCTAATTTAAGTCATCTTACGGAAGGCTCATGGCTCTGCCAGCCTCCTTAATTAGCAGATCAAATGTCCCGACCCCAGGTTTCTCAAAAATACTCAGGTTTTTATTCAGAGAGGCCAACTTGTGATCTATGCCTACATTATTCATCTCTAAATTAAAGTTGTTAACATGCTCCTAAAATGTGCTCCTTATTTTCCTTCATCTGATATTTATTTCTTGATTATGCTTTCTTTTTATATTAATGATTATGAGACTACGAGAGTATTCACATTGTTGACAGACGTAACAGCAGCATTCAGCCCATGGGAGAGTTCAACCACTGAAAATTGCTGCAAGCCCAAATAATGAAACAGGTGCTGCCAATCAGTTTTATTAAACTTCATGTAGTCGCATATACTGAAGAAATGTCACAGGCTGCACAAAAAAAGCAATATGAATGTAATTGAAAAAATGTATAAAATTGAACATCATTGTCCAACATAAAAAAGAGGCTGCCACATTCACTTGTGAAAATCATTTCACCAGCTAGCAATACATGTGTCTAAAACTTAACTGGTAGTATAGCAGTAGAAGTATATCTATGTGAGCACACACAAAAGGTTTCAGTGGCACCAGACCTTGTGAGAATTTTAGACTGAGCTCTTACTTCTGCACTGAACGGAATTGAATGGCGGCAATAGAGAACCATCCTGCCTGTTTTTTTGTTTTCAGCAAACATCTGCTGATTATGTCTGCCACACACACATTCTCTTTCCCATTTTAGTTCTTTGCCCTGTACGTACCTGTAGCTCAATCAGAACTTCTCACATAATCTGGCAACAGGAGCATTTCAGTGACAGTCATTCATAGGGCTGCTCGCCAGGAGAGCCCAATAAATATCTCTGCAGTCAAAGCAAAGCCTGTTTGCTCAGCAAACAGGTGGTTATAAACCTGACAAGCATTGAAGACACAGAAAACAAACACACACATACAATAAAGTTGCCACGCAGTAGACGCAAGTGTGTGAAGACCTGGCTGCATGCAGAAGCAAAAATCTTAATGCACAGCACCAGGGTCACACGTCTTGAAAACAGTTATGACTGCTTCCCCAGCCGACACACAAGGACGTATAAATATGGTTGCGACGTGGCCACGTGACAAGCAGCAAACGGAATTCCCTGCCTAATTTTCGTTTGAACAGCGTGCTTAGTTTGTGATACCTTCAAACAGTTGCCAACATTTCATTTTGTGAAACTTTACTCACCTTGCAAACACAATTGAGCTGCCTGCCACAGATCAGTGTCAGATTTAATTATACTGGCCAACAAACATATTCTCTTATGATCTCATTATTTGGCAGTTTGCATTGCCAAGCAAGCAAACTACTGCCACTTAATGGAAGATGGAAAAGTCCCAGCTCGTAAGTCGATGAAGTGGACATCGGAGCACAAAACAAATTGAAGAGCTCCAAGAGTATCTTTAAAGGTGCTACAATCTGGACACTGCCGTGCACTGAGCCCACCGACACCTGATGAAATACAATTAGTACTTCGTCCTTAAAACACCACACCGTGCAAAGTTTTTAAAACATTTGGCATCACCTAAGAAAAGCTTGCTTTTGTAAAATTCCTGGGAAGTTCCATGGTATTTGGTGCATGATTTGACGTGTCGCCCGCAGTTTGGTCAGAATAAGAACCAATCGGCAGTGCTGCAATAAGTGTGTAGTAGAAACAACAGAAAAAAACAAATTGTATCCCAGGAACAAAAGAAAACCAAGTACAGATTATCATTATGGCCTATTAGCATGACACTAAATTGGGTACACGTGCGGTCCATAAAAAGAATGTGCTAACTAAACATGACACTTAAAAAAAGTAAAGCTATATTCGTATTGCTGCCACAAATTGTGCCAGTAAGTTGTACCAAAAGTGAAGATACCCCAAAAATGCAACAAAAAGAGGGAATGTAAAATGAATGCATTGAAAATTGTGATCAATAAAAACCTTTAGGACCCTACACAATTACTCACACCACTAAGACTTTAGAGCAAACTGTGACTAATTCATCCAAATGGGTTCATGTAACATTCATTACAAATGTAAAAAAATAATTGAAATATTGAAGTACAAAGATATTGCTTTCGAGACTCGCAAAGCAGTAGTCCATGTAAAATTGATGCACAGTACAGTTCAAGGAACCAGCTTCAGCCGTATATAAAATGCATGGGTGATTTGCCCAACAGAAGCATGAAGAGCCTCACATTCACTAGAAAGATTAGTTGCAAATGATGCACACCTAACAAAATTCTACAGAAAAGCCCACAATACAAAAGTTCTTAGAGCACGCAAGCAATGAAATAAGAAGTGAACGAATTGAGGTAAACTGTTTCATCACTTCATGCACGCCTCCATGTTCATTAGGCCTTAAACTCGCACAGGAATAAATACTTAAAAAATGAAAATCCCAACTCCAGATAATATTTGCAATTGACTCAACTTAGCGAACACAGTCTTAATATATATCCCACATTATCATTCGAAGAAGCTGCCAGTGCTACAGGAAATCCTCGACTTCACTTTAGTCATCATGTGATGTGAAAACACCAAAACAAGGCTAAGAGTTGAATTAGCACAAAATAGCAGATGTGCTCTGTCCAAACCAGTAAAACACTTGAAACATGCACTGTTGGACGAAAAACGGACCCCCAAAAAAAAGTGCCGTACTGCTGCGAACAACCTTCTCTGTCTGAAAATGCTGCTACTACGAATGCACATGTTAAATATTCTTCTGCACATAGCAGGCAGGTCCGCAACCTTTCAAAAATTTATTTTTAAAAATACGGCATGACAAATCACAGAACACACAGAAAGGACACACACAGCACTGTGCACGTTTTCTTTCAGTTTGTCATGTGATTTCTCACGCTGTTTTTCACTTGTGTGCAAACAGCAAGCCCAGCTCGCTACACTCGCGCAAAACTTTTTTTTTTGTCTAGCCCTTTTCCAGTATTCCTCTATTTTGTGCTGCTTATGACATCCGAGGCCTGCACAATGACCTAAACATAAAAGTTAATCATTGAACCAGTCTCCATTGCCATGACTTGTTCATGAGCAGAGACTCTCGCATGCACTACTTCAACTTCAATGTTTGTTGTTCTAGGGATCTTTACAAAACATGAGCTCTCAGGGGTTACTCTATTTACACCATGAAAAACGAAAAAGGCAAGAAATGATGTACAAGCCACCCTAGCTGAGAGGAAACATAGCATTGAAAGAAAATGGGGAAGTAAACATTGCACTCTTCTATCTCTGTGTCACTGAGTCTCTTTTCAAAGTTTCTGCTGAAATATATATTCAGAAAAAAGGGTCGCACATACTTGTATATACTTTTACGTTAATGAATTCTCTAACATTTTGTGTATTTTAATTTTTAGATGCATATGACTTTCATTAGGAGGCTACAAAGCTTGCAGAAGGTACACACAGTACGACGCAAACACTAATAAAGTAAAGGAAAGGCCCGTCGCAGTGCATTTGGCCAACGCTCTAGGCCCCCGTCTCGCTAAAATCTTTGGTAAGAAGCACAAGATGAACACAACTTAAGAACAGTCAGTGTTTATGGCTTCTAGCTTGAAATTTCAAGATTATAGACATGATTTCATGTCCAACTGCTTGAGTAAGTCTGCCTTTTTTTTCTTCGAAGATTTACATTACATTTTGCTGTGGATAATTGTGAGTAATGAACATGATTGGCTCATTACTTTACTGGCTGCTTTAAGCAGCAAAGTAAAAAGATGGATGTATGAATTGGATGCCTTATGCACTGAGTAATGCTTCAATAAATGACTGACACTTTTTTGAAGAAGTCAGAACCTACAGACCTTGCAAATAGATGCCTTCTCAAGGCTTCCAAGATACAGGTAGTATTGTAGAATGCATGTCTAGTTGAACAATTCTAAAAAAGCATAAGCTACAGCTAGTTGTGAAAATGAGCATACTTTGCAGAGGAGGAAAATGCCTCTGCAATGAGGTGGAGATGTTGCATCTCGATTAGGTAAATGGGAATGGGAAAATCTAAATATTGCTCAGTGTTTGGTGAAGGTCCAGAGTTTGTGGGTGATCATGATTCTTTATCTAGCTTTACCTTGCATCATGCGTATTATTAGGTCACTATATTATACCTTAGAAACAAGCTTTAGAAGAAGCCAAAATGAAAAACTACAGCTTGAACTAGCCAGTATTTCTGAGACTGTCACATTAGTGAGTGCTTAAAGTGATGCTTGTGAAGCTACCAGTTTACACATCTCAAGTGACCTATACACCAGCACAAATTATTGCTTGTAAATGTAAACGTGGATCTCGGCTCGGTTTAGGTGACCCCAGGGTACTTCAGCTGGCCTTTCTGACACACAATTAATTTAGCTGCTGTAGTGTAAACAAGACAAGCGGCCAAACCTGAGCAATCATGCCACAGATAGTTTAACTCACTGCAAAAAATGCTTAAATAACCAGCGGAAATGTCAGAAGATGGCACAAGGTTTCCAAAGGTGGTGTTATGTACAAAGTTTCAAAAGACAAAAGTTACCCAGAGTTTGGTCAACTTTCGAAGCTCTAATGTATGGAGAACCTTCACACACAGTTTGCTAATCATTTTACGAGTGTCAAACAACGCTGGAAAGTGCTGCGCTCATGAATCGTCAGAGTAGTGGTTAGACAAATATGAGAAACATTTGTAGAATGGAGACAGAATCAATGGAAGTCAATGTTACTTTGCAGCACTCTACGTTCGTTTAGCTTTAAGGAAGTTCACTTGACGCAGAATTCAGGACGATGTCAGTGGCATAGTGTGAGGTGTTGTCTTAGCAAAACATCCGTCGTCATTTCAAAGACCTGTTACTTGCTCGATGCAAGGGCTGTTTGAAGAAGCTCCATGACAGCAGAATTGACGACCTCTGGATGCCGGCGGAACAAATAGTGGCCTCCTTTCTTGAACAACATTACTTTCCTGGAGCCTGATGTTGACCCTGAGGCATAAGGAGTGGTAAGACATATGTCAACAAGATATTTAAACTACGAATTGAGGGATATTTGCATGTACTGATATGAGTTGCCAAGTGTAAATTGCACGTTGAGACATGCCAGCAAACAATGTAGGAGTGCTGTTTTCAAGATATAAGCAAAAGTGAACGCAAAATTCATTGAGAGCAATGTCATCAGTTCCAGTCAGGCCATAAGAATCCAAAACAGGTGAACACCATTTTGGATACATATTAAACAAGAACATGAAACTATGCATGAGTAAAATCAAACCAAAACAAAATAATGTTGTGCAGTAAGAAGGCAGACTTGGACAGGAACTGCACTAGAAGTATTTTGATAAAACTACTGCTAGCACAAGTTGGCAAAATACAGCACTGAATGTGGATTGATTGTTATAAAATACATGACGTAACACAGATAAAATGAAAATTGATGAATCTTCTCTATCAACTTAAAGAATTCTGCAATGATTATATAAAAAAAACTTATGTTTCTATCTGGTTTAAAATCTCTCATGGGATGACCACTTAAGACCAGTTTGTTTACCATTAATGCAAATCAGTTATATTTAGTATATCGGTTCACAGCTGCACTCTATTATTATTGCTCATTTCAAGTATTTCAGAATAATCTGTACAGGTTATCCCTTATCAGAGATAGTAATAAAAGCTCGGCAGGAGTGACATGTCTGAATGCATCGCAGTCAGAATCAGTTATTTATCTCAAACATTACAAAATGTATCCAATGGCTCAATTTTAGTCATGCCGAATAAAAAATGACATGAGCAATGCCAAACAGACTTAGTATGTTCTTGACATTCTTACATAAGAAAAGTATAAAGCACCCTGTGGATTTCACATAACACCCCTGTTCTCAGAATGCATACACTATCACAAGGCTGCCACTGTCAGGATCAGAAAACCGTGTTCAGATTCTTGGCCACTCAGAACAAGGGGAACAGTAAATAAATGAGAGAGCAACAGGTGAAAAAGGTATTACAGAAAACAGACATTAACACACAGAACGAACACTGACAACAGAAGCACTTTTGCTGCTCAAAAGAAGGCATGGCATTTGTAGTGTACACATATCCCGAAGGAGTACGTCCACTAACGTGGGTCCGGTCGTAGTGAGCCACAGGACATGCATTAACCGTCGCCATGGTGAGAACACGGTACTGCTCAAGGTCACAACACTTTATTGTCTGCAGCAACACCAAAACGCAGTACAGAGTGCGTTGCAAAGGTGCGGCGGGAAAGCAAATGCGCTTATTCACGCCCCAGGCGAGAAGTACTACACAGCGTGCCGCAAGCACGTCTCCGTGGGCAAGGGATTCACGGGGAAACCGGGACAAAGGGCCCGGTTGCTTGAGCAAGGGTGAAGGCGCTCGCGTTGGCTTCAGAGAGATACGAATCGACGTAGTCTGGCCTCGCACCAGGACACCGCACTGCTTTTCGGCCTAGGGTTCGGAAGGGGAGGGGGGGGGAGGACAAAAGGTAAGCATTCGCTGCGGGCGCAAGGCGCTGTTGGCGAAGTCCGAACGAGCCCCAAACAAAAGAAACCTACGGACGGAAAAGAAATGTGTGGTTACCCCATGTCGTCCCAGAGAAATTCTCTCTCGCTCCTGACCCGCGCGCCCGCGTGGACCGTCTTGGAGAGACTTCGTGCGCGGCGCCACAGTCGACATCCGCCACCGGGCGAAAGGGGTTAAAACATCACTCCCCGCTCTCCCAGCGGGACAGACCACGGAGGAGAGGAGCCATGTCGGGACATGAGAACGCAGAAAGAGGCGGCGAAGCTCGCGCAAAGGCGGCGTGCTAGCCTCGATTCCCACACATTGCACAAACAATGAGAGACAACATATAGACCCATTCCATGTTTGTAAACACAGGTAGGCCGATGTCGACAATATGGGTAAAATATAGCGACGTCCGCACGTAACTTCCGCCATTAGCACTTAGGGATGCAATTTGTGCCAACAAAACGACCTTGTGAGACGCCATAAGCGTTGTGAAAGCCATAAGCGCTGAGGGCTGCGATGTGCGCCAACAAACAAAACTGGTAGACGCGACTCACATCCAACCGCGACGCAGCTCGTCGGAATACCGTTTTTTTTCCTCGTTGTTTGTCTGAGAACACCACATGCACCATTGAAAACCTAGCCGAAACTGCGGTAGGCAGAGCGTCTTTTGCCTAACAAGACAGCGCCACCACATTTTCGTTACGCAAGTCCGGTGGGATTTGCCTCTAAAAAAGAAAAAAACACGCGCAACAGATGGTAGAAACACGCAAGAGTAGTAGCATTGTGCTGTAAAATTGGGATTAAGAATCATGGTGCGGCAACATATGAAGTCCAAGACCCACCCATCTGTAGATGCTCTGACTCCACATGGCACAACCATGTTCACGAGTTGTGCCCTGGAGCCACTATTGAAATTGTAGCTCGATCAAGCCAAGCATAGCAAAAAGAAAGCTCCAGATATACACAAAAGCTAACATAAGCACGGGGATATTCGTCAACTTTATAAGTTACAGTGCAAGACCAAGTGATACAGGTATATTGACAAAGGTCCAGTGAATAGGCTTGTGCAAATAGTGAATTTTAGGCTTGAAGGAAATATCGATTTTGGTCAAATAATTTCGAACCGAATTCTATATATATGACATATTAAGAAAAATGGGCATAACAATCATGACCTAACAAACTTCCAGAATATTTGTTTTAACTGAAATAGAGCCTCTCTACAAACTCCATTTTCGTTTGTTCAAAGGAAGTCAAAATAACTTTGAGTAGTAGCAGGATTCGACTTTTGAGTGATGACCTGTAAAATACGTAACATTTTATTAAAATTTATATCCCTACATAGAGCATATAAGCCATCATAACAAGCTTTTAACCTTAATAAAATGATCAATTGATTTCAGAGCAATATGTTCATTTAAAAGGCCTAGCAACACTTTTTGAAATAGCCATGAAATGGTTTCACTAAAGAAGCTTATTGCCTCACGAATTCACCTCGTCAAAAATTTTTAGAATTTATCCAGTACGAGTGGAGTCGCAAAGATTCGTTGCACGCTACAATTGCATTCTATTTTCTTGTTTCAACGAAAGCACTCTAAGCTAAGCAGGGAGGGATCGCATGTGGAAAAAAATATGTTACGTGCACCTCACGATCTCTAGCGCATTTTCTCTCTTTTTGTTTTCTTCGAATATGCGGCTTTTCAGTGAGATTGCATGCGTACGTGTGGACAAGTGGCGGCACCAGTAACAACCGAGCGCACCATGCTCACATCAGCCCATGGTTGATACAATGGCTGTGAGGACTTATTTTTGAACTTGTGGGATCATTTGCCAAAAGAAGAGAGCAAATCTTAGCTGACTTTGAGAATTCGTTGTGAATTACGTGTTGGCGTTATAATATTTCACTCACGTGTTCTCGGTAGCCTCGACTACCGATCGGCAGCGCTTTCTGACCATTCTTAAAGAGTGTTGCAGACCTCCTTTAAATTTGAAGGAAACTGCATGGCAAGGCGGATTCCTCCTGGCTTTCACGGCTTGACATCCCTACACTGCAGTGAAACCACCCTTACAAGCAGTTACATGCGGACTAATTGTAGTATCGTGCAGCGGACGAGATGCTTGATACCGACGAAAAGGCCTACCGACGTGCCTGCCTCTCCTGAACTTCCTTCTCGACGCTCTCTTTGGCGGCTATACCTCCGCCTTCGTTTCTTCAGTGCCGCAGTGTACCACCTATTCCATGGAGGCAGTAGCGTCTTGTGTTACAGGTCTACATCGACGCTGCTGCCAGGGACACCACGCCGGAGCACAAGAAGGCGCTGCTCCTGAACGCCTTGGGCGTCGAGAGACTCAACACCTAGCTGCATGCCCCCTAAGATGAGCAGCAGCCGGGAGCTGACCGGCCAACTAAGGAGACAACGCTGAGTGTGAACGACACAGCTCTTGTGCCGCTTAATGAACTATTTGACCCGTGACCGGATGCGGTGTGTCTGCACGCCTAATTCAAAGCGCTGCATCAGGGACCAGACTAGTCGGCAGTCGAATTTATTCAGGAAGTACGCCGAGTAGCCAAGCTTTGCGAATTTGGTGTGGCGGGCAATATCCTCGCCTTCAACCAAATCGTCTCTGGCATCGCGTTGCCGCACGTCCAAAGAACTTATTTTAAGATGGGCAAGGACTTCTCCCTACAGAAGGCGCTCGACGTGGCGAGAGAGGAGGAGCACAGCGACCGCGCGTTGCTACAGTTATCGGGAGCACAAGTCGACGTTGTCTTGTCGCGTCCAATGCAAGGTGGCGGCTCAGCTCGCCGAACTATTCAAGATGCCAGGCCAAATGTTGGCCGTCCTTCCCAACCTTCGCCAGCCTGCACTTCAGCGTCGTGCCCTGTGTTCTCCGTGCGTCGCATGTGACGCATGATACTACACTAATATACAGCTTTTCGTAACCTCCTTGTCCTTCCTCTCCTCGTACCCTCCTTCTACTATTCCTTCATTGCGAATGCTTCGAGATTTACAATTATCTAAATTTGAATCAAGGCAAATTTGAATACTCCCCTATTCATTCGAATATTCGAAGCATTCAAATGTTCGCGCTAGCCTACCAGTGATACATACAGGTACATCAGCGACATGGAAGAGTTATCCTTTAAAACGTCAGTGACATACAAGTGCATTATGAGCTAACAACCAGAAGACTGTCAAAGACGTACATGTATATCATTGCCTGTATGTTTAAAACACGTTTTTTTTCCCGATCATTTCTCTAGCTTGGCGCATGATGCCACACTACGAAACGACGGGAAGAGCAACAGTGAAGAGAGAGTCCACCGCTAAAGAAGCTCCAGCTTTGGAGTAGGCTAGAGAGTCATTCCCTAAAGCAAAGACCGAATCGATTACAAAAAAAAACGGCCAAGTTTTAAAATTAAAAACTAAACACTAAATGTGGCTGGAGAGTCGGTTTCTTCATATAATTTTTAGTTGCACCAATATCTTTCTGTTTTCTTTGTTCTTTTTTATGCTTTAGTTTCAATTTCTTTCTACGGCTGTTTCTTGCTTGTTGTGCCTGCCAAATTGATGGCTTTCCAGTTCAGCATCTTTAAAAAGATGACCGATTTGTTACTCTCTCCTTAATTGCTCCCCGATACACAATTACACCCGTTTTCGTGCGGACATCGACTGACACAAACAATGTCACTGTGGTTGTGCTTCCCGTCTTGGGTACTCACAAAGAACACTTCTGTGTCACTGGCAATAAGGGGAGGGATTATTATTGGTTTCAAACTTATTTTCGCTTTCCAAATGAGCTGATAACTACACAGTTGCTCCCCTACAATGTTTGCTTTCATTATGGTAATGCACCCTGGTTTCTCTGCTGCAAGCTAGTCTAGCAGCTGTCAAATTTTGATTCAGTAAATGTTAGCCCATCATAGGAGGAGTTTCCCACAAGTTAAGACTCAAACGCTGATGAGTGATCGACATCTCAAAATCGTGCGCGGTGAGATGATGCTGACTGAATAAAGGGTGGCTGTTCTCCTCCCCTTGGTTTACTGAACGCTACTTCTTGCTTTTATTAACGCAATAGTGTTAGAGAGCTCGTGTCGCAGAAATTCCACCGTTGCTGTCGGCACCGTTGGTTGTGAGCGAAAAATCGTCTGCAAACAAAAAATCGAGAAGGAAGCAAATAAAATAAAGAATAAAATTTTCGGTCCCATTGAGGATCGATCCCGGGCCGTTCCCATGGAAAGCAGGTGTCCTACCACAAAGCCATGATGTTACTTGCAGCTGCTTCGGGAAAAAACACTACTTAAATGCCATGTAGTGGAAGTTGTCTCCTTAACAGATTTTGTTCGACAGGTGTCAGTGCGAAAACTAGCCCATTCGGCGATTTGTAGGCGCATTTGGGAGGCTATCAAACTACGTCGAAAAAGGCCAGGATAGTGAAGCCATCACCGCTAAAAACACACACGACCTTTCAAACAGCTCTAAAAATGGACAACTATGTCCATCTATTGGAAAACATATCATGCCTTTCCAGAGGCGTTGATCAAGCAAACAGCAAGGACTAGAAAATGTGCTGCCATCTGTGAGGCATTGTGAGACTCTTTATGGCCTCCGAAATGGCGTGCGCACGGTGGGTATCTTGGAGGCCATGAGACTCTTGCTTTAGATCAAAAACCTGTATGTACGATTTGCACACGCACGTGTGTGTGTCTGTGTGCTATCGGTGAGACCTCGTGAGACATTGGGCCGGATTTCGCTATCGCGTTCAACTCTTAAAGGCAAAGCTTAAGGGTTCCCCAATTTTTTTGTACATGTGTAAACTACAAGGTCACTTATTTCAACCTGTAATTTTTAACAGTCGTGTAAGCTTTTTTTTAAATAAAATTTATCCTGTTGTTACTCTTGAATAAACCACAAGCATGTAACAACACCAAAGATTTTTTTGTGACTTGGTGGTCACCCCCCAAAATTTTGAACAATACGTTTCTGAAATAGATTCATCTGAAGAATTTCATTCAGCAATAATAAAAAAATACACTTTATGGAATGGGTTTGGAAAAAAAATTGACCCTTAAAAGAGTAAGCACTGCCGGTTAACTTGACTCATGATACTAGGATAAGACTGGGCTGTAGATATTTCTTTGTCGGAGCAATTATACTTGCCTTTTCTGACCAACTTTCCATCGGCATCGTAGAGCCACAGATCTTGGTTGCGCGTGCCAATAAGGTCCACCATGTTGAAGATCACTTCTGGGTTGATGGCTCGATCATTCTCACTGAATGCTATAAGCAGAGGTATCCCACTGTTTGCAACTTGCTTGATCTTGTCCCCTGCCTGAAAAACAACATGATTTACCATATTTACTCCCGTAATCTATGCACTCACATAATTGTCGCACTCCCCGCATTGCCCAGCAAAAATAAGTTTTTTTATTTCCGCAAGTAATTATTGCACCTCCGAAATTGCAGCAGTTAAGTTGCATTCCTTTAGACCACTGATGATTATAGCGCACGACACCCTGGCACCATCTGTTAAGCATCATGCATACTATCAATGCATGAGCCACAATCTAAGCCAAGACAGAATTGCAAGTGGCGATACGGAATTTACACGACTGCTTTCAAGTGATTGATTATGCACTAAACATTGGCAACAGGGCCGCCAGGAGGCACGTCAGAGTCGAGTTTTGTGTTCACTACTGGCGATGGCAGCACGAGCAGCTGAAAGCCATTAAGAGAAGCTTTGGACCTTCCGTGTGCATAAGACTGGCATGGATAGTAAAACTTTTCGTCAGAAGGCAACTGACGTCATTTCGTCAGAACTGATGGAACTGACGGAATTTCGTCAGAAGGCAACTGCGAGCAATTCCATGTCAGGGGGCCGTCAGCCTGAAGTTGACGTCGTATGCTAACTTTTTTACGGGCTCCCATTGAGTGACTAGTGGTAACGCTATGCATGCAAGCGTTGTGTATGGTATTTCTCTACTATTTGCTAGCGGCTTTTTGCCCTCTTTATATAGACAATTTTCAGTTATAGTTTCTGGGCGCCGAATCGGGCAGACGTAGCAGCGTAGGTGGCTTGGTCACGTGACCACGAAAGGCTGCGACACACGTCGTGCTGAGTATCCTCTGCTCTTGCACACATATGCCACACAAGCACCAGCAAAACAAATGCAAAGACAGTTGCCTTGGCCAGCTGCAGAAGCTGCAAGTGAGATAGTAACCGCTGCTTTGCCAGTATGTAGGTTACGGAGGTGGCGAAGCTACGGAAGTCATTTAAGTCACCACAAAGATTGTCTGACATCACTACAACTTTCATTGCCCCTCCTATAGAGCTATGTCAGTTTTGGGGCGCTAGCCATGGGTCTTGATCGAGAAAATGAGCATTTAGATACACTTTGGAAGTGATTAAAATATATTCTAAACGTTTGCTGCATCTGACCCTTCGTATGGAGTGTCCTTGCATATAGAAGAAACCCACAAAGCTTATTATAGCCTCGAAATTTGATGGAAACACCCTTTTACGATTATTATTGTGATGGGGCTGTTTAGAAATAGTGCAGTTCATGCTTTGCGATGCCTATCTGGAATGACATTGCCATAGACGCTGGCTCCAATGGCGAAATACTTTAAGGGCCCTTCTCTAGGCTTTCTAAAATAATAGAAACCCTCTTGCAGGGCACCGTGGCATTGGCTGCACTGCTAGTTCAGGGTCGCAGTTAACCTTTATGCCACAAACTGTGGTCACAGTACGCAAGAACCAGCGGATATAATATGATCCAATGTGAGAGCGATGTCTATATCAGACTCTACACAATCTCAGTTAGTGATTCATGGCATTTACATTTTAACCGTAATAGATTTAAAACGAGCATTTATTGGTGATGTTTTACTGTAAATATAAGAATGCATGAAACTCGTAATTCACTATTTATCTGAATATCCAAATTTGAGCAAATATTCGCCTTTAGCCGCACATACAGTAGCAGCCAAATATTCGTAAAAGTGCAAATGTGCAGTTTTTAATTGAATATGCTTCAACTAAAAAAGTGTTCAATTTGAATTCGAAATTTTGAATGTTTTGCATATTTCTAGGTGTTATGAATTTAGGTATCAAAGACTATTGCTGATGTGAAAGTTATTCACCTTGTTGTGGACATTTTTAAAGAGGCATGAAGGGCAAGTTTTCTGTGGAAGTGGCATAGACTGCGAAGCTTTACAATAATCCAGTTTATATTCCAAGATGCATTCACATTTGATGAAAACATGCTCACGAAATACATATAAAGGTGCAGTACACAGTGCCCAATGTAAGTGTCTGCCCCAGAGGTCGGCAAAATTTGTGGAGCTCACTCCGACTCACTCATTAAACATATTTTGCACTTTCAACTCACTCGGACTCACACTCACCAAAATTTTCCTGAGACGAACTTTTCTTCAATGAAACTTTTCTTCAACCGAACTCACTCGCACTCAAACTCACAAAAACATTACTCACCTGGACTTACTCAGACTCAGCCTCATGGCTTGGTCTGAGCGTGAGCGAGTCCAAGTGAGTCAACTCACAAGTCCGTTATCCTTGAATTAACTCTTTTAAACCTGGTCTCCATGCTCTCTAACACCAATATGTCACGTAATCGGTGCTCTTTTTGGCGCCAACTGATATAGTAGCTTTGATTACGAAAGAGTTATGAGTAAGGTCATTTTTCTTAGAAGAGATGACAACATAAGATATATTTATCAAGAACTTACCCAGAATAGTTGGCGAGGGGCAGATCAAAACACCCTTATACTTAATTTGCACCTCTGATCAATAAATATTGAAATGGGGTACAAAGAACACGGCTTTGGAATGTGTGGGAGTAGTATGAGTCCAGGTAAAGCTGATAGTAATGCTGAAGGGTATATAGATAGGACCATAAGTTGGCAAAAGAAAATTGAACTCACTCAGTCTCACTCAAGAAATATATCTTGCGCTTTGGACTCACTTGGACTCACACTCATCAAAATTTTCCTGGCCCGAACTCACTCAGCCTCAGACTTGCAGCTCGATCTGAGTCTAAGAGAGTCCGAGTGAGTCCACTCGTGAGTGAGTTCGCTGACCTACGGTCTGGTACACCATACATTGGCAGTGAAACCGTAATCCCATCGAATAACAAGTTTGTGGTTTAACTACACTGCTTTTCTCGGTGAATTGCGCTCAACTGCTACATATGGAAATGTGAAGTGACTGCCATGTCGCAGCAATGCTTACAACGATGAAGCACAAAGTATGAATGCCGATTTCCTTGCACAAAGCGCGACTAAATCTAGAAAAGCTCGGACGACACCACAGGCAGGAGTAGGAGCATAATAAAACACACACACACCTCTTCATAGTCGGAAAAGATCATAGTTTGCAGCGACATAATGGCATCTTCAATGTTAGGCTTGATGGGATTCCTCGTGTACTTCATTATGGCAATGCCCAAGTGTCTCATGAAGCCTTGATATCGAGGATTCGTGTAGTGCACTGCAAAAGCCCGCATCAGAGGCAGTGGCCTGATTGCCCTGCAAGTGAAAACAATAAGAGATGAACATGTGTAGAAGTCATAAGTTGAACAGAACTGTATTCGTTACCGTGTTATAATTTTTGTACAAGTCAAATGAAAAATTTCATACTCTACTTGAGAGTAATACTCCCTTAATTTCACAAAATATTGTAGTGGATCATAGCAACGGGGTGACCGGCGCGTGAGGGGTACCCTGTAAAAAGAGAACGACGAAGACAGTGTTGTATAGCAACGAGGTGAACGGCGCGTGAGGGGTAGACCGGGGAAAGAGAACGACGAAGACAGTGTTGTGTTGGATTGTGTTCGAGTGAGTGGCTCTTGTACGTTACATTTGGTGGCAGCTGTGAAAACGTTAACCCACGTTTACAAGGAGTGAGGCTGCCGTGGTGACAGCAACAGTCGACACTTCACAGATGCACCCTACGGAAGACGACACGTCGTCAACGGCACTGGAAGCTCCTGTCCCGACTATGCAGGAAAGCTTGGCACAGGCTGCGGGAGCCCCAGTCTCGTCACACATCCTGCCATCAGTGCCCCATCAGCCTCTTCTGTCGAAGTTTGATGTCCAGGATACGCCAAATCACCCTCAACAGTCCAGCGCTGATGCCAGTCTACCTATACCTGACTGCCTGAAAGCCCTTGTTTCACAAGGTGAGGCCGACATACAAGCCCTTATGCAAGATTTTGAAACTCGCTTTGCTACCCGCTTGCTCTTTCTTGAGGCCACCCTCGCCCAACGTGCCCCGACGGCGGATGTCGTCGCCGACCTAGCTGCGCGGCTCTCTGTCATTGAGGAGCAGTCTGGCCTTCAGCAACGTGTGTCTATCGCAGTCGAACGAAATGTTCCTCTGTCAGCTCAGCCTCGGTTTTTCGGAGCACAACTTCCACTGCCTACCTTCGATGGCACCACGTCGTGGGCAGCACTTTTGGTGCAGTTCGAGTCCGTTGCTGCCCTAAACGGCTGGACAGTTCAAAATAAAGCTCAGGTGCTCGTTGTGCAGCTCTGTGGCGCCGTGGTTGAATACCTCAAGTACATCCGGCAAGTCGTCTGCTCGAACTATGAAGCTCTGGTCTCAACGCTGGAAACCAGATTTGGCCACAGTCATCTTCTTCAGCTCTACCTCACACAACTGAAACACGTCCAACAAGGTCACCGCGACCTTCAAGGGCTCACTGCTCACGTCGACAGCTTGTCCCGGAAAGCCTTGTCGAGTTGCCCTACCGCAACCACGGGCCTTATTGCTGCTAATGCCTTTGTTGATGCCATCAATAACAGAAGTGTCTAGCACTTCGTCTGCCTCGCTCGTCCGATTGACGTACGATCAGCTTTAGCTGTCGCCCTTGAGGCGGAGATACAAGAACGCTCGCAAGCAGCTGAGGATCCATACCGGAGGCCAACCTACATGGACGCACCATCCTGAACCTGGCATTTGGCTCCTACTCGGCTCCACGATCCTACAGCGGTACTCCGGTGCTATCACTGCCATGATGTTGGGCATTTCGCTCGGAACTGCCCTCGGGTGACCGTGTCGCTGACAAACTCAGCTCCTCCTATGCAGTCTTACTAGGGAAACTACAATGCGGGCCATCGAGGGCAGGACCCCACATGATGGCTGAAGTCCCTCTTCTTTCACTTGGCCCCTTCAGCAAGATGCCAACTCTGCTGGTGAAGCTTGGTGATCTGCCGTAGCACGTTGAAGCGCTAGTGGACACAGGGGCTGCCTTCAGTTTTTTAGCTACGAGTTACTTGTCTGGAAGATTTTCGGTGCGCCCTGAAAAGGTCGATCGACCCAATCTCGTCCTAGCTGAAGGAGGCACTCTACCTACTCTCAGTGAAATCTGCCTGAATGTGTGTGCCCTTGGGAAGACAGTGAGACAGCGGTTTCTTGTTGTCCCAAACCTGTGCGTGCCAGTGGTCTAAGGCTGTGATTGGTGTGCAGAGTTTGGCATTAATTTGCAGCTTAACGGCACTGATTGCACCATTGAACTGACACCTACCGCTTCGGCACTGATTCGAGCAAGTGTTGAAACTTCCAATAAAGCTTGCTCCAATAAAGCTTTACAGAACTGTTGACAAAGTGCGCTTCGTGCTCACTGACAACTACCGCATGATGAAAAGTCTGATTATTAAATTTTCTTCGAGAGTCGGCATTCTAAAAACGGGCACGAATACGGCCGTGGGTACAAACAGAAGTGAACAACCTCAAATTTGAAAACCATCCCCTCTTTTCAATCCTGTGTTTACGGCAACCTCAGTTATCATCCCCTTGTCGTCTGCTGCGTGAATTCCTGTTTACAGCCCAGACAAGTCCTTCGTTGACAAGGTTGTAGAAAGAACCGTTTGTTCCCGGCCTGGAGGCGAATTCGCAATGCCGCGGGCCTTCCATCGCTGTTCCGGCAAAACCTTTGCAGTGCTTGTCTTCAACCTGTCCGACAGTATCCTGTGCATGCTGTCAGGAACCGTCCTCGGAACTTGTACCTACCTTGAAGCACCGTCTGTCGTAGCAGTAATACAGCCCATAGCACCATCACCACCAACTGCATCGCCCTTAGACTGGAATGAATTAAACTTCGGCCCCAACTTGACTCCATGACAGAAAGCTGAGATTCAAGCACTTCTACGGAAATTGCGTGACTGCGTGGCAATGTCACCCAGTGAGCTCGGACACACTCCTTTGGTGCAGCACAGAATCGACATTGGCTCTGAAGTTCCTGTTCGGCATCACCCGCGTCGAGTCTCTGCCTCTGAACACGCAGAAATCGCTAAGCAAGTGGATGACATGCTTAAGCGTGGTATCATATCGTGCTCGTCAAGTCCGTGGTCGTCGCCCGTAGTTTTTGTGAGAAAGAAAGACGGCACGATCCCTTTCTGTGTTGACTATCGACGGCTAAACAGTGTCGCCAAGCCTGACGTGTATCCGCTTCTTCGTCTTGACGATGCCCTTTACCGCCTGCGTGGTGCCCGTTTTTTCACTACACTGGATCTTCTTCCTGGCTATTGGCAGGTGGAACTAAACCCGAATGACGCTGAGAAGACCGCCTTTATAACTCCGGATGGCAAATACCAGTTTAACCACCTGTCATTTTGGTCTCTCCAACGCTCCTTCTACATTTCAGCGATTAATCTCAAGTGGTCAATGGCTTTGGTCTATTTAGATGACATAATTGTGTATGCTCCCACGTTTCCTGAACACCTCAGGCATTTGGAAATGGTCTTGCGTGCTCTCCAAGACGCTCGCCTTTGCGTTACACCTTCCGAGTGCTTTTTCGGCTTTTCGGAAGTTAGTTACTTGGGGCACGTAGTCAGCGTCAAAGGCATCAGCCCTCATCCCACGAAGCTCCAAGCCATCGCCTGCATTCCGCCTCCCACCACGGCTAAGCAGCTTATAAGTTTCTTGGGCTTCGCTTCATATTTCAGACGTTTTGTCTCTGACTTCGCTTCCCGCGCGGTACCTCTCAATGAGCTATCGAAGAAAGAAGTTCGCTGGAAACGGGGACCCGACCAAGAAGCTGTCTTCCGCGACCTCAAGACTGCCCTTCAAGCACAACAGACGCTCGCGCACTACGACGAGAATGCGGGGCGATGATGCGCTACGACGAGAATGCCCAGACGATTCTACACACCGATTCCAGTGGTCTTGGCCTCGGAGCTGTTCTCTTGCAAGTTAACGAGGACGGGCAGAAGAGACCAATCGCTTATGCTAGCCGCTGGCTCAGTGAACCAGAGAGCCGATACCACGCCTCTGAACTTGAGTGCTTGGCGAGAGTCTGGCCAGTTGAAAAATTTCGTTTATACGTTTATGGTAAAAGCTTCATGGTCGTTACCGACGTCACCCTTCCCTGGCTTCAAACAAAAAATGACCTCAATGCTAAGTTCGTCAGGTGGGCTCTCAGACTGCAAGAATACAACTTTTCTATTGTCCATCGCAGCGGTGCTCACCATCAAGACGCTGACTACCTCTTTCGCCACCCGACAGCTTTCAGCGACATCTCCCCAGTCTCTGAAGTGCTTGCATTACGAACTACACAGCTACAAGACACAGAAATCGTCAATATAAGCCAACAACTATCCGGGGAAGTACACACTCCCAAGCGTCGTCGTGAAAGTCTTTCTGCATCGTATGTCGTCCGAGAGGAAATTCTTTATCACCGAAATTATCGGGATGGGTCATGCGTGCCTTTTGTGCCGGTAGCCATGCGACAATCTCTGCTATTGATATGCCACGACGCTGCGACTGCCGGTCACCTCGGGCTGCACAAGAGAGGCACGCATCAAAGAGAGGTTTTGGTGACGGCGCATGCACAGTAACATTTCCCGCTACATTTTGTCGTGCAGTCTGTCAAGTACGGAAGGCCACCACAAATCTGTAACCGGTCCCCATGCAACCCATCCCTCCTCCGGAAACACCTTTTGAGATTCTAGGACTTGATCATATGAGACCGTTTCCACGTACGTCGCGTGACGAAAATTCCTCATTGTTGCCACGGACTATCTCAAGAAGTGGACCGAAGTCAGAGCCGTCCCTGACTCTTTGACTCTGCACACCCTCCGGTTCATCAACGAGTGCGTCATTTTTTGAGACAGCACGCCCCGCTTGCTCATCACTGACTGTGGCATGGCCTTCACGCCCCGCGCATTCAGAAACCTACTGAAAAACCATAAAATTCGGCATGCCGCGGCCACTCCTCAGCACCCACAAACAAACGGTCTGGTGGAACGTAAAAACCGTACCATAAAGGACATACTGTCATCATATGTGAGTCCCAGTCATAACAACTGGGATGAATATGTCGCCGCAGCTGTCTTCGCCCGCAATAGGTCACAGCAGGAAATCATACGGGAGTCACCGTTCAAGCTTGTCTATGAAACGACGCCAAGGCTTTTCTGCAAGAGAGCTTCTTTGGTTTGAACACAATACTGCAAAACCGTCTGGATGATACCAATACTTCGGAGCTTCTGGCCTGGCCATAGACCTGGCCATAGCGCATCATCAGGCGAAATACCGCTCGCCTTCCAACGAGAATCACACCCCTTTCAAACCTGGAGACCCAGTGCTGGTTCGACGCACCCAGCGTGTTCCACAGCATTGCCAGAAGGTTTTTCCCAGGTATGCCGGCCCATTTCGCGTGGTGAAAGCCCTAGGCCCTGTTACGTTCCGCCTGGAAGTTATTTCCGAACTGAACACCGAAAGCAGAAACCGTTGTTTCTCGCCCATGCAAGCCAGTTGAAGCTTTATGTGCCACGTGATTTCTGTATTCACGCCTCTTCGTCTTCTGGCTCAGACTCCAGGGGAGAGGGGGCGGCGAATAGCAACGGATGACCGGCGCGTGAGCGGTAGACCGGGGAAAGAGAACGATGAAGACAGTGTTGTGTTGAATTGCGTTCGAGTGAGTGGCTTTTGTACGTTACAATATATCTTGTAGTATGTGAAAATTCCCAGTGAACCTTCATAGTCATTGCCACTGTGAAGTTTTGCACATATATGTGATGAGAGTAAGTGGCCTGCATGCCATATGCTGTGGACGCGAAAATAAAGCCTGCAGAGGTGGGCCAAGAAATAATGTAGCTTGATGTAAACAGCCTTCTGTATGAAAAATCTTTAGAGGTAACATGATGACGTCCTCCTCTAGCCCAGCCTTAACTGCACATGCGTGCTCAAGTAGCCGAATGCAGATATGACCTGCCTGTTGCATCTTTAATTTATTACACATCGGTTGCAAAGCCTAAAGTCGGCCAAGATGGCTGGTGGCTTAGCTCATGCGTGGGGTCTCCCGTGTGACTGTTTCTGGAAGCTGCATAATCAAAGTTTCAGAGAGATGTTCATGCAAGTGGGATCACAAAGCAATAGGTCTGACACTTTTTACACCATCACTGGGACAGTGAGAGCTCACGGTCAGTTAGCTACAAAGTATGTTATGCTCGATCGCAAATTTTCGTACTTGCGATTCAGCATGAAGTACTTTGAAACATTGTGTGCCGCGGCTATGCTTAACTCCGCTCATCATCTTGCGAAGATCCTCATCACAAGGTCCGAAGTGCTGCAGAACAGTCAGTCTGCGATGTTTGCGATGAGCGCAACGCACTATTCTCATTTAATCATTCAATTTTCACTTGAAGCTGCCAAACTAAAGTGTAGTTATGTTTTAAATGATGGTCGACCAATGAACACACAAGTGCAAATGCATCACTAAGTAGCACGAATTTAGACAGCTGTGACTTCGCGATGCGAAAGCAGCAAATAACGCTCTCCCGAAATAAAGACCAGACCAATGGTGAGGTGAGCTGAAGCAACATGGTGGATGCAGCCAATCAGAGACTTCGAAACAAACTTTGAACAATTTCTTTATCTGCACTTGTTTCTGTAAGGAGGAACCAGCTGAAGCGGGAAACTTCAAGAAAAAAAAAAGCTCTTTCAGACAAGCCCAATATGGCAACGAACAGTTGCAGAGCTATTATAATTTCGTTAACACTGTTTTTTTTCCTCGATATCTCCCCAGTAGTTTTCGCCACCTCTGCAAGTACAGCATGTTTTTTATCACACTTCTACATAGGTTTTTAAGATAATTTGGAATCAAAGAAAGGAATATAGAAACTGAAAATTTGATTTTCGAAAGATCGACTTTTGAAAATTTTTGCAATAGCCACGTTTGTGACTTGTAATCGCCTCTATCTCATAAGAATATTCGAACAGCTTCTCTGCAACTTTTTTTGCATTTTTCACAGTGAATAATTCGAAAAATATGCCTGATATATTAAAGAAATGACCCGATTTTAATATTATTAATTTTTATTAATATTAATTATTAATATGCTTGAGCCCTCAAGCTTTATTATTCCAATTTGCTTTGCTCCCAAGATGTGCATCCTTCACACAGCTCTACAAAAAACCACCAGGCCTGCACGGAATGCGCACCATAGTCACAGCAAAAACTGGAAGGGCGGCTTTTCTGGAGCCATTTTTAAACATTCTTTTTGGGTAACTGCTACAAGTACACTTGCAGAGCACCCACTATGCATAAACCATCATAATTTTTGTGTAGTTGAGAAGCATTCACCATATCATTTTTCGTCATTGTTTGGAGAAGTGAGGTGCCCGGAAAAGCTGGAACAAAGAAAGCGAATAAATTTGGGTGAGGATGAGAATCAGACCCGTGCCTTTTGGTTGTGAGGCAAAAGGCTTCCCACACTCCTCGATCGCTTAGGGACTCGGGCTGAATAGAGGAGGGCCTACTATGCAAGCGATTAAGTGCTTTAATATCTGCTGCTAATATCACTGCTCCTAGAATCTTCTGTGAGCCGTGAAAACTGTATCAGTGGTAGGGCAAGGTGGCACCCTCCTTACATGAAGGTGACGTGAATGGGGCCCACCAACTTTATGCATACCACTATTAAAAGGAAAGCTTAAGAATCCTGTAATATTTCTTTATAAATATTATAGTTAGATTGAACTGCAAGGTAACCGCAAAGGGCCAGAGCTTGCACACTGTGCTTTTTCAGTTCGTATGTCCCTTCTCTGGCAATTTCCTCATCAACTTTTTCAAGTTAGTCTTTCATTGCGCAAAAAGAAAATGCATTTGGGTTGGGGACAAAGAAAACAGAACATACCTGACCAGCTGGTGTCCTGCTGGTGCCAGTAGCGCCACTGCTTTCACTTGAGGCATGCCTGGCCTGGTCATGACATTTAAGGTTGGGTAGATGGCACTGCTGTGAGCCACCAGCATGTCAACCCTAAGCAGAAAAGCAAGGTCCTATGCAATGGAAATCACTACTCCTGGTCAAAGACAAATGTATTTGCTTTTGTCAAGGGGTTCTATTACATCGAAGGCACTATTGTATAGTACACTCAAGCGGGCAGCTGGAATTGCTTCTAACCCCAAATTGACTACATTATCAAACTGCTGATCTGATTCTTCATTGCCACTTTCCTACACACACAAGTGGCCTTCAGTGATTCTAAATTTCCAGGTACCGTTGCTTTGAGACACTGTAGTTGTGGGTTCGCAGTTCCACACACCAAAATCACAGCTTTATAATTCTGCTTTTCAAGCACCATTTAACATTCACATTTCATATTCACCATTCATTCATTTTTATCATATGAATAAGCTATCCAAGCACCATTTCTCAGTTTTTCACCTTCATATTATGCCTACTTTCTCTAACAGTGGTATCTAGCTCTTACTAACGTGAAAACTATGAAAAGCTCACCGCTGGGTTTGATCCTTATACAATATTCAAAACAGGACTTTGCAAGCCTGAGGCAATGACTATGCTAAGCAGCTTTGTAGATAGTTACACAAAACCTTCACATAACATTGCAACTGTAACCACACAGTTGAACAAATATTTGCACAAGCGCTGCTTAAAATTAGTACGGATTCACCAATATTTGAGCCGTAAAAAAATTTTGAATTGTAATTGACTATTTTATTTGCACCAGACTTTGACTATTCGACGTATTCAATGTTTCAGATGATAAATACAGCCAATGTCAGATATTTTGGGCTACCTAGGGACTCTGAAACTGTCTGAAAAATCGGGCAGTCCAAAAAATCAATTAATAATCTTTCATTTCACTAAGTGATCAAGTTGCCGCAGCAATGCCCGAAACGGCTTTACTGCCACACCTAAACTTATCAGACATTTTGGTGCACGCCCAGGCTCTCGTGAATGCATTCGGTACCTGCCGCAAACATCTCTTACCCATGTGCCAACCGCCCATCGAAAACTTGTGTCTTGCGAAGAGTGCCGCTGACACTCGCAAAGCGTGGAATAGATGCTGGTTCTTTCACATAGGGCATTTGGAAATGTTGACGAAAAACGCAATGACTGTAGCGGGACCGTTCGCCTTTCTCCAATGCGTGTGCGCACATAAACAATGAGTACATAAATGTTGCACACGCACATTATCAAATCTCCGCCGATATACAGCACTTGCTGCCACATGAAGCCGACCATTGCTAATTGTTTTAAAGCACACAGCCAACTAAGCTGACGCCGTCACTGCCAGTGTGCTTGATGCACTGTACACATGCATTTTTCATGAAAGTATCAGTGATGTTCATTCTGTTTCTGATCCCACACTGGCATGGTGATGGCGAGCTGCCCATGTTCGTGAAGGCAAAGTGTCTGTGCAGCGCACCTCGTGGTCTCGTACAAAGAGGCAGCTTGACCAGCAGCGCAGCGTGTTTGGGTTATCGCCTATCTAATGCATGCAGCTGTGTACCAATACCACGGTGCCAGGATGCATGCACTACTTAGCAGTTGGGTGAAGATGCTTATCACAAGGTTTGTCAACGATTAAACAGTGCTGGCCTGTTTGCCGCCATCACGCCTCTGTGAATTTCCAGAGTTTATCATTAAAGATCTTTAAATTGCTGCACTGCGCTATGACAAAGGCCCCTTCAGATGTTTCGCCCCCACAGATCTTTAAATTGCTGCACTGCGCTATGACAAAGCCCCCTCCAGATGTTTCGCCCCCACTGCACTCTGAAATTGCAGCAATGCGACCACAGAAAATTTTTTGCATGGACTTGACTTTCAATGCAGGAATAAGGTATACATATGCTAAAGACATATGGGTGTTAAGAGACAAGCATCATGGCAATTTTTAGCGCTGCGTAACAAATCTCCGAAGTCAATAAACCACACGATTCCTTTTTGCACTTTATGCTTCATGTTGCATGCTATCTATAAAGCTCTTCATTGCAATCTTTCATGAACAATTCAAACCAACAGAGCTATTAAATATGTGCAACTTTTCAATGTGCTATACTAAAGTAGCTTATTAGCATACAAAACATTTTGTCTGAACTACATAATGAAAGGCTTCAAACACACTGTAGTGACAATCTTGCAAGGGGGGAAAAAAACACATTTGACAACAGTAGCAGGTGATAATGTCGAAAATATTAGATAATATGTTACTTGCTGATGTTGATGGCCTTGAGAAAGTCCGTCAGCAGCTGAGTCTTTTCCTCTGCTGAATGCCAGAATGTTCCAGTCCGGTAGCTCAAGCGCAGGTCTGTCAAAAATTATAATGGATGTCTAACAGGCGAGAAACAATGTAGCCCAACATTTGCCATGAAAGAAAAGTAAGCAATGTACACTTGCAGACTTGATTGATATCTGGGGTTTAAAGTCCCAAAACCACGATATGATTATGAGAGACGCCAAAGTGGAGGGCTCCGGAAATTTCAACCACCTGGGGTTCTTTAAGGTGCACCCGAATTTGAGCACACGGGCCTACAGCAGCCACCACAGTCAGATTCGATCCTGCAACCCGCGGGTCAGCAGCCGAGTACCTATGCCGCTAGACCACCGCGGTGGGGCGCACACTTGCAGACTACAGATAGCAAATGTGCTATGCGTAGTCTGAAAATTTAGAGTCCACTTGCTTTTGCAAGTTCCTATCAGCTACACAGTGACAAACCAACATAACTCTCGCCAAATGGTTCTCAGTTATTATTGTACCGTCTAGCTTGACGAGCAAAGCAGTTTTGACAGGGGCTGCTTGATAGTTACTTCACAAACATGTACAACTGAACATAAACATAATGATGTGTCATGTTTTGTAAAAATTTGCATTACCTCACGAACTTCACTGCATTGGGGTTTTGGTGACGGTGCACATAAGTAAAGCCTTCCTATTATGGTACATGTTGCATAATACTAGTAGGTTACTATTTACCTAAAAAAATTTCCCACCTGAAATATGGATGGCTCTGATTAGTGATGAATGATTGGAGGTAAACGTCGGCACTATAAATATCCCAACGTTCCCATGAATGCAAGGTGTTTCAGCGCGCGAACAAAGGAAAAAAGGACAGCGTAGACAGAAAGAGCGCTCTTTCTGTCTACCCTGTCCTTTTTTCCTTTGTTCGCGCACTGAAACACCTTGCAAATATGACTACGCACCAACTAGCCCAATCTTCCATTCTTGTGAGTTCCCATGAAGCTGCAGGGACTGCCACAAAGAGTGAGTTTTTATTGAAGATGGAGCCGAAATTCAGCAACACGGTCCATTAATAACATCCAGCAACTGTGTCAACATCCACATGCTTCTCGTGGCTGATGAGAGTGGACGTGGCAAACTTTGTAGTTGACAGTATGGTCAATTGACATACGCATAGATATTGTTTGGAAACTTCTTTTTCGTTGCACTTCACTCATCTTCTATGATTGATGGTATTGTTTGCTGCAAGCTGTCCCTGCACACTCTACAAAAGGGTTTCGCGACATTCTTCTGGTGCAATCGTGTGGTTTTACCGCGACAGCGATGTCTGCCGTGATCTCGAGGGGCGGCCCGTAGCGTCAACACTACGATGCATTTTGCAAATTCCGTGGCAAACTTGCACGATGATGACATTGACACTGTAGCGAGCTACCACCAAGGCATCAAGACAAACTGGCGATAACAAGGAACGACAAAACAGAGCTGCTGCCTCACTCTCGATGTGAAGTGCGGTTGCAAAAAGAAGGTAGCTTATATCATGCGTTGCTTGAGGTGTGCACGGATAACAAGCGTGAAGAGCGAATTTCAGCCAAAACAAGGATCAGGGGTGCTATCACGTTACGGTTACCAAAATCGTCACGCTCTTTTCTGGGTGACGTGACAAACATATTTTTTTCTGGTTTTCCAGAAACCTGCAGATGCCTGTGATGCAAGGCCCTTCATGACAGCAAATCCTGTCGCCGTCCGCTTCGGAAAAATCCGCATGCAATGGTGGTTGAGCCTTTAAGGTTTCGTATTTGCCGGAAGTGACGACTGGTTAGCAAGGGCAGTTTCACGACATTCGCTTACTGTGCGTGCTTGTGAGCCATGATGTCTTACATTCGCATCATTCGTGGATCCCTCCATGGTGCAAAACATCCCGTGCACAAGTAGAAAGAAAAACGAAGAACTGTGCGCGGCAGTGGCTCGCGGAACTGCAGCAGATGAATGTAGGGGGTTAGTTTATTACACGGGGGGAAAAAAAAATCCAAATTTTGATGACTGAAGTTTGGAGTGAGCTTAATATGAGGGAGTGTTCATTACGCGAGCAAATGCGGTAAGTCACAGCCTTCTGCTTTGCCAATTCTTTCTGGGCCGTTTTATGATGAGGTGTGTGTATTATCTTGAACACTCTTCACAAGCAACAAACCTTAAAACTTACTATGACATCAAATTCACCTTCAAATAGAGAGTTGTCACTTCTACTTTTGATACGTTACTCTCTAATCAACCTTGTTTCTAGCAACCATGCTTAGTATGTCACACTGGCAGTTTGCAACGTTTTTCTTGCAAGCTGTTAATGAGCAACTATGTAGGTTTCAAAATTGAAAAGATTTATTGCATTATTTTTAGGTACTATGTACAGAATTACATAGTGGTCTTAAAACCACAGATGAGATTTCTCTAAATTTGCCAAATTTTCTTTTTATGTCCAACACAGCTTCATTGTATCAATACAGCAGCACAAACCTACTTGGTTCAACTGAAGGCTGAAAAACATGCATTTCAATGGAAGCACGAAACATGAGAAAACTGATGCATCTCAAACTGCATTATACGTACTGCATGTGTGCACAGTATCAGTGTTGAACAGGATGAACTAAAAAAGAGACAATTGCTAGTTATATATTGAGCAATTAGCAACAAGGCAACTTGAACATAAATCATACTGAAACATCGTAGCATACATGCCAAAATCAATGATTCTGGATATGGGAGATTTCTGCTACGAGGTGAGGAGGGGGGGAGTCACATTGATTCACTATATTTCGGTTTCCCTTTTTTTGCATCAAAAGGAAAGGAAACAAAAACATCGAAAAAAAAAAACAAATACGGGGGGGGGGGGGGGGGGTCTTATAATGTAGTGGCTGGACACATGATGGTAGGCTTTCCCAAATACAACACAAGGTGCGAGTCTCCAATACGGGTGCACAAATATTCGTATCTCGCAAAATTTAGCATCATCAAAAAAACTAGTAAAATATATGCTAGTCAAAAGGACTTACACATGTCTTTCTAGGACACACATGAAGGGACGGGACAGCGCAGCCGGCTGCCCGGAAAGTGCGGGTCAAAGCTTCGCTTGAGGTCAACGCAGATCGACAGGAACGTCAATAGATTTTTGAACAGGAAAGCCAAAACGCTTCTAGCCTTTTTTTACATCTTTATTGCCTTCAATTTACCGCTGTGTTGGCCGCGTGCTCTTGGCTTATAGTCGCTGCGAATAATCACATCACCACAAACACGGTTGCGGCAAACGCGAAAAATGGTAGTTCCGTTTTCAATCCGCATGCCCTGTCTGCAGACGTGCCTATACAAAGCCAGGCCGTTTGTTGCTATCTATATGATCGCACCTGCCGCGGCTTTCTCCGTAGCGTTTGTGGAAAGCAATGCCGCTTTGACTGGTTGAGTGTTGGACGCGCGTGAACATTTAGAGTTCTGTCCGTTATATGTCGTCGCCATACAGGATTGTGTGAAGAGCGACCACGATTTCGTCCACAGTGGTTGTGGCAAACAATAGTCACAGTTCTGACAGTGCTTTTTCGACGGTTTCAATGCGAAAGTTTATACGACACACCGCAATGAGGAAAAGTGTTCACAATATCTGAATTTTGGCCCAATGGACTTAGTGGAATTCAGCTGGGGAATTTCACAAGTTTGTATCTGCCAGTTTCCCATCATTGAAATTCTACTGTACATTTAGATGAGCAGCCCCTAAACTTGTTTACAATAAAATGCGATAGGTTCACTAAAAGGTTGCATTGCATTGGGCTACATTTTTGTCATTGTGGCAAGACCACGCATAAAAATTACGATTTCCAGGAATTTATCCTGACAACTGTACAAGCGTAAGAACTGGTTGCAATACAGGAGACTTGGCAGGTATGTCGTAGGCTTCTGTCATATGACAGAAACACCGTTATCAGACAAGTAGTCATAACAACTTCAGTCTAAAACGATCCTGTAAATATGATCCCTCATCATTTGTCATCTGCAGTAAAATGTTGCAATAAAGTCTATTTGAACCCCACCATTGAACTTGAAAGTTCAGCAATAATGGCACTCACACAGTGAGAATGCAGAAGATTAGTGGTGCTATGGAAGCCATTATACCACAACAACAAACTCCTAAAGTGTGTTTGTTGGGTGTGATTTCCTGTTATATCCTGAATGTAGCCAAGTTTCTACTGCGAGCAGGCAACCATGTTGGTTGAATGTAGTTCTCTACTCAATCTATCTAAGTTAATATATGTAGATAACCGAGGAGAACAATGTCTGAAGAGAACAATGCCAAATTAAAGTAGCTGGTTGTGTTTAATCTTGTCCTTCTAATCTGGTCAATTCACACAACAATCGAATCTCAATGATACAATTTTTAAGGGAGAGTGAAAACATTTGCATCATACCACATTATTGAAGTTTTATTAAACTATCTAAAGGCGATGTGATACGATAGTCGTGGCTGAGCATAAAGAAGTGTACCATCGCAGCATTTTACCAATGCCCAAGGTAATATGTATCCAGTTTCGCGTGAGTACGAGTGCGTGCCTTTGCCAAATGACTGCATGATTGATCCACAGTGTATTGTGAGTCACGCTGTGCTTACCAGGCCACCGAGGTGAGATGACAGTGACACCTTGGCTGTCCGGAAAAGGCACCAGTTGAGTAAAATCACGATAACTGCCGGGGGCGCCGTGCAGCAGCAACACCGTGGGGCTGCCCGTGCGCTGAGCCACTGGTCTGTCCAAGCCCGTGTGCATGTAGCCGAGTTCCACTTCAACGCCTGAAATAGCAACAGTTCAAAAACTGTGATAAAGAAATGCTGCAAGTAAATGCAGTGCAAATGTGGTGAAGCAAAAAGTAATAGTGCTTGGTGTTACTAAGCTATCACAATGTACATTAGCATGCCACTTTCACAGATTAATTAAATAAAACTACGGAAGTGTGTTGACTACCGGTATACGTATTCTTTTTGTTGTGAATATTAAAAACACTTCGATATATTTAGTTGCAGTGGCGACTTCTCTGTGACAGAAAAATCAAAGAGCACAAACAGCAGTAGACACTAGATACAGTTTAATATTATGAACAACAGTACACTAACAGATGACTTCACCATCTGTCGAACACGGTGTCTTTTCCATTACTGAGGTGAGGAGTCGGTGTTCTGGGGGAATGGGGTGTGGGTACTTGAATAAGAAACATGAAGACAGGACACTTGCAAACACTTGTGCTGTCTAAGATCAAATGATACTGGACAATGGGCATTATATATGAGATATTCCTTTTTTTTCTTTTAACATACAATAGAAGATTGTCTGAGATCACCTGCGTGAGATAGAATTATATTGTAGTTATCTAGCTTGAGCATTGAAAGCTGAAGTTATTATATTAGTTGGACAAATCAAATTATATAATAAACTAGTTAACTAAGATTAAAAAATAACTATTTGATGATTTACTGTTAAGTAGTCGACGAAAAAAGGTTTACGGCTGACATGAGCAAATGCCAAACTGCCTATCTGTGTCACCTACCATTGCAGTGCTGGACCAAAAATGAGTCTTCTTGCGATTCATTGGTATATCAATTTTCTACTGCACGCAGCATATCGTTAGTGCATTGTTTTCACGCAAAGCACCTATCAGCGATACGAGCACTACACGTCTATTTTTATAGCAGAATAAAGGCTATTGTGGCATGCTTCGAACGGTGTGCTGTATAGTTAGTTATTACTGTGCAATAAAGGCTGCGACTGATAACTGTTCAGCTGACAGACTGCTCTTAAGATAGAAGTATGCAACCACAGCTGCTGAGAGCACGTCATGGCGGTAGAAAACATAACATGAAAAATGTTTGGGGACAGTGGGAAAATTGTCAGGCCATCGACTGAGGGAGGGAGTGCGTCTTGAATATAGTGTTGCTGTCGACGCTGAAGACCTAGAGGAATATCCGCAAGAAGGCTCTTGGCCACGTGCTCGCGTGGTCTGTAAACTTTTTTGGTGAACCTTACACATCTGAAAATGAATTGAGAATGGTGATCTTATTAGGCACGGTGATTCTCACATTGAAATTTATTATCTTTTGCACCATGCTCTCCACCGAACCTCTATATATGCAATTCGTTATGTGATCGTGCATTATCTAGCATGCACAAATTTTTCATGGTTCAAGCAATTCAAAGGATAACTCCTTGAACAGTGCTATTGGTTATTTTTTTGCATTCTCCATTCATTACAGCAGTAAGCAATCAAAGCCCACATTTAGAGACCTGTATAAAAGATTGTGTTTAGACAACACCATCATCACAAGATAAATTTATGACCCCTGTAACATGAAAACTTATACCAGTATTCCACAGTTACTACTGTCTTGTGCAAGCCAACTGCACAAGACCCTGGCAGTATTCTCGAATTTGTGATGCTACATGATTCCCTGCAGTCTTTGCCTACATTTCTGTTCCTTAGCATTGTTTTTGATGATCGTGTAGACCCCGATTGGTTAACCCAGAGCATTACATGGCCTATCCACCTCCTTTGTTCTTAATTATGTAGTGAAGAGCTTTTTGTCGTGGTCCACCATATTCATTGCAACATGAACGGATGAATTGACAACAGTGAATAGGAATACCCAGAATCTGCACCAAACTATAACACAAACAGTGGGCTGATAATAGTAGTTGCACCTGAACAGTAGCAGCAAGAGCTAAACAGGCTAGCAACCTCCCGCTCAAGCCTCGTGCAGGGCTGGCAATGTTCACCCTGCTTGCTATCTATGCCACACTGCTGCCATCTAGGATAATTTTATGCACGTAATTCTTTGGTGACATCACTCAATATGTGGCCTTTCACTTTCTCTCAAGCTTCTTCGTTATCCTTTAGGTTTCTGGCCCACATGAAAGTAAGTAACAATAAAGAGACACTAAAATTAAGAATAAAATAGTTTAGTTTAGATGTTAATCTCACCATCACAGGTTTACTATTAGATGAGCAAAGGGATTTCATAAGTTTCACTGCCAAATTTCCCACCGAGATCTCCTATGGTGACATCACAACTCTTGGACTGTTTGTTAGTATTTTGGCCGCATTGGCTCAACGAAATATTATGAAACTTGCTGTGTCAAATCTGTGGCTCCTAGCAGAATGTCTCGTAGTACATTTTGGGGGCTAGTTGGCGCATTCTTCAAAAAGAAAGGATTGCACAGCTGCTGTCACCTCTGTTTTTGTGTGCAATCCTTCCTTTTGAATACAATGTGGTAACGGGAACCTTCTACCCGAGAAGGACTGTAAGCTTCTGGATGACAATGTAAAATTTTCTCTCTGATTTTTTCTCTCCTACCTTCGGGAGGTGCATTCTGGTAGCCTGGCTTCCATTTTCTCCAGTCCTGGTAGAGTTTCGCACACGTGTGAACTTTTACGGTGCGCTCGGTGTAAGGCCACTCGGGTGGTTCTACTGGCGCGGGCTGCTTCTTCAGTGCAGCAGCAGTGGGCTCAAGAACCTGTTCATGGACATGTCGTGGCAAAGACTTGTAAACAATGGCAAGAAAACCATTGGAATACAAAGCCATAAAGTAATAACAATAAAGACACTAAAATGGAAGAATAAACTAGTTTAGTTTAGATGTTAATCTCACCATCACGGGTTTGCTATTAGATGAGCAAAGGGACTGCATAAGTTTCACTGCCAAATTTCCCACCGAGATCTCCTATGATGACATCACGGCTCCTGGACTGTTTGTTAGTATTTTGGCCGCATTGGCTCAACGAATTATTATGAAACTTGCTGTGTCAAATCTGTGGCTCCTTCAGAAGACAATATACCTTTACTGATAGGAACTATGCAGGCCCTAGTAGATGCTGTCAAGACCTATGGTATCATGGTAATTGGTGCGTTAACTTCAAAGTGATCTTGCTGCTCGCATTTTTGGCATCATGAAAGAGTAATTTACTAATATGAGAAAAGTGTTTTTTTTTTTCTATATGTTGTCCCTTTACATTGTTTCAATATGTGGAAATGCAAATGACTATTTATTTTCCTTCTGGCATGCGGTGGAAGGAAACATGTGCATTCAAACAAGAATTTCTAAAAAAACAGATGCCTGGTCCTATTTATGTCTGGCTGGTTTTCATACAGGCTCGTTTGAGTCTTCAGTTAAGTGAGCTAGATGTGTGCTTTCTTAGGGGGCCCTTACATTCCTTCAATGGAGCTTTGAAGATCTGTAAGGCTTCCAACCGGATTCCTATAATAGTCAGAAAGTCGTTCAGAATGAAACTCTTAAACTGAGTACATAGAAAGTTTGCAACTTCCTTTATAAAAGCGGATTCACCATTCACTCGAAATTAATATTACAAATGCTGATAAAACTTGACAGCATCCTGAAACAAGAAGGTAAACATGTTTACAGGATGTTTACTGCCTTGCATTAGGGTCCTCCCACTGCTTTTAAAAATAATTAATTGTGCCTGTATTTTTAGGAAATTAACATGAGGGTGTGGACAAAGGCAACTATGATAGGCGGCCTAATAGTAATGTTTTTCTATAAAACGGGAGAAATCACACCACGAAGACTCTAAGCACACCACCCTTCAATGAGTCCAATGAAGAATGGCACAAACTGAGTAGGTCTTAGGGTGTGAGAGCGGCACAAACATGAGTATACAAAGGGGAGCTTCAAGTACGAAACGATGCAAATGGCAACGAAATATTCAGAGAGGTTGCTGAGGTAGCTGACTATGTATATGTAAGACTGTATCAAAGCACAGACCAGGTCTCTGTTTGACATTTACTAAGCCTCCCCCCTCTAGAGCACAAAACTCGGCAATGGACGTTGATCGTAGAGAAAGGTTCAAATGACTGGAACTGTACAATCCTTCTGAAAAAAACGAAATGCAAGATCTAAGACACCACCAGAGTTTGCTGTAACAGATGGTCTCTAATTTGGTCGCTTCAATTACCAGAAAATCCTTTAAGTCATCTGCAGACCACTTGTTCCAGTGTTTGGTTATGCCTAAAACAAAATCTTTAGCCACTCTCAGCAGTATCAATTCCTCTTTTGTGCTATCTCCAAATGAGATCACAAAGTTCTGAATGTAGCGGATGTAAAACAGAGAAAGAAGACCTTCAAAGACTTTCATAATGTCTTCTTTGCTTGTAGGTGGAGTAATTTAAACATTAGCTATTGCTGTGTCAACACCACTGCATTCAATTTCAACCACACATGTCACAAACACCAGTAGAAATGGTGGTTTTATCGATTCCAACTGGTGATGTGTAGTCAATTTGTCTGACAAAGAAACACGCCATACTTCATACTTTCGTTGTAGTCAGCTACGCCTACAGCAGCCTTCAAATTTTTCGGTGGATATCTTGTCAATTTTCGCACTGGCTGCTCCAGCACTTGTAGGTGCGGAGTTTCAATACAGCAGGTGTGACAAGATAGGCTATCGCTTATAGTGACATCAAAAGCGCTCATTATGCCGCTCAATAGAGAAACAAGTATAGCCGAAATTGCAAATTGTACTTTAACAATTCTTTTATGCCAGCATTACCCATGCTTTTCAAAACATAACCTACTCGAGTATCTGTGCAGTGTGCTTTACCTATTACAAAGGCACACAATGACCACAGCTTAATTTATAGCTTTCAAAGTCATGGTGATGTCGATAAACTGGATTTGATGGCACAGCAGACAATCTGACTTCCAATTCATCAATTTCAAAACATGAACAGCTTCACATATAAAACTCCCAGTACAAATTATTTGTTAATTCTGTGATGACGTTGAATAGACCAAAGCCCATCATACAATCAGCAAATACTCATTTGCAGGCAAGCTGTAGGTGACATTAAGATGACATGGCTAAACACAAGTACGAACGAAAGTTTTAGAGTTGAAACTAATTAAAATGAATGACACAACATATAAAATGTGTTGGAAAACATTAGAAAACATTGCTCAATTGCCATCAGTTTCACTTGAAGTTCGTAGTGTTGTGTCAAGGCGATAACAAGAATGCATAAAATGTACCTGCGTGGCAACAGCTTCGATCTGTCCCTGCGACCTTGATGTCAGAAGTCCTCGACATAGCAAGATTTTCGGGGGCAATCTGCTTATGGTGCACACATTCTTGCATGGCTTGAGGCTGAGGAAGGTCTTGACTGTTCCCTGCATCCTGTTTTCTAAAAAAAAAGGGGAGAGGTTCATAATGAGTCAGTAAGAAATATTACAGCAATGCTACACGAAAGGAAGAAAAAGTAAACATTAGGCAAAATGTTGAAACAATCTTCTGAAAAAGAAAATGACAGCTGCGTCTGGGCATTGATATCACGAACTCCCTAGTGATGGCACATATACATACATCATGTCACTTGCATACTGACTTTTACTTTTTCCTCTCATTGCCCCAAAAGCTGACAAAAATGTGTGGGGAAATCACAAGTCATGTGAGCTTAAGGTAAAGATATTTTCGAAGGAGAACACTCGATTAACTCACGACGAGGAGCTGATTGTCATAAAAAGTGAGCTGTTATGCACACGCATACATTGTTCATGACAGTTTCTCAAGACCACTTCTTAAGCTTCCGTCGACTCAAACAGAAGTTCGCTCAACCAATACGGCCAATTGAATAGCTTAATTACGACGACGCACTCGCCGCAGGTCCAGCCTCCGGCAACGCGACAAATAGCGGAGTGAGCAAAAAAAACCAGTGGGTTGGCTCTTGGAAAATGCAATCGCGACAGCTGGCCGAGTTGAATCTTGCGAGGAGAGAGCGCTCTTTATCTCCTAGCTTGGTGGTTGTGGTTAGAGGAAGGAACAGACGCCTAATTTCTGCAGCCCTTAACTTGAGGAGGGAAATCGCGCAATCGCAGGCGCTTTCTGCTTTCATAACCGCACCCGATTGGCGCCTACTGCTCTCCGTTTCCGTCTTCCACTAGCACATCCTCCGTTCACTCAATCAACCAATAACAGCGCCGCGGGGAAGTAATCGCACCAGATATCGTATGTCCCCTTTCCACTACGGAAAACACCGTGACAGTGCGCTGTTTCGTTTTACACGATTTTACGTCGACAGTGCGAAGAATAGATCTCGTTATAGCGCCCGTAACAACACATCGTCCGATCCCGACGAATACGTCAACGGGCGCCGGTCGGCCCATTTCAACCCTTTCTTTTCCGACACGGGAGGTCGGCGCAACTTAGGCGCAACAAGCATGCAGCGCCTCAATTTTGCCGGCTCGACAGCTGCAGCCAAGAGAGAGAGAGAAAGCGATCAAGCCGCTGACAAAGGGCTGACAGGTAGGTATACTCACAAGCGCGGCGTGGTCGGCGGAGAGACTTCGCGCACACGGCAGGAATAAACCAGATCAACGAGCGCAGGGCCTCGTCTAAGGCACCATAGCAACGCACACCCTGAGATGAGCCAGAGATGAGGAGCTGCTGTCGCTGCCGCAAGTTGAATGATCGAGGCAAGGGCCAGCTACACGAGGGTTACGTCACAATCGTGCGATGCGTCGCACCACCAAGGCCACCGCCGAGAGGTGGCGCGGTGTGCCCTTGCTGACGAAATATGGCGCCGTTTACAAACCTAAGGAACGCGACGTTGAGTTCGCACGGACAGCGACCAGGAATGGTGCCGCAAGCAGCTGCGTAATCTAGGCGGTGGTGGTCGCCTGCGAAGCGAGCGAGCGCTGCGCACGAAGTGAAAACACTGCGCGCGACAGTGTGCAAGTCTCCAGCGAGTGGGCCCCGTGAGCTGCTTGGATGCGGTCCGGTTGTTTTGGTTGCGGACCCCGCTAGCGGACGAGCACTCGAATGCGGAGAAGAACCGGAATCGAGGTCAAGAGCGTGCGATGAACCGGACGGTCGTGAGAAGGAGCCTGGTTAATGGTCTTAAAATGTCGTCTACCTCCAGCGAGTCCTGGTTTCATTCAAACACAACAAAAGGATTTCACG